TACTCACAGGTGGCTTATTCTGATCATGCTGTCTTATAATCAGAACATTACCCTGTCATCCCTCGTATACTACTATATGAATATTTATATTCTATATCTTTATGTGTATGTATTTATATATACACAGATAGACATAAACACATAGATTTCTGTATTTATCTACACTCAAGTTTTCCCAATGTTTTTGTCACATCCTACCATAAAATATCTACCAGGTACATATAAGCATGAATACACAACACATACACACACACACACACACACACACACACACACACAGAAATCTGAATCCTTACTGTGTGCAACGTACTTGGTATTTTCTTTATTATTTAAACAACTCTATTTCATTAGTAAAAATGCTGGCTGAATGATTTCATGATGAGTCATGACCTGGGATTTTTAAAATACTGATCAATATCCAAGACCACAGCTTAATGTCTAACTATAGATTTGTATTCATAGAATCTTTTATTTCGTACCTTATCAACTCTGATGTAAAAAATATTATTTATCATGAATCTTTGGAGGGTTTTGTGGTGTGCCAAATTTTAAAAAATCCTTTCACAACAGAGTAGGTATTCTGAGGTTTGAATCACTGTAACTTTTAAAACATTGCTTTTGTTTTCTTGCCTGTCTGATCTCTGTAGCCTTCATCAGTTCAGAATCCACCTAAATTTCACTAAAATAAGACTCTAAGAAAAATCCATAGTTTAGCTCCTGTCTGTCAGCTCCTTCTTCAAAGACTAATCAAAATTCATAGTGAAATTACTAGGAGATGATTTTATCTTAGTCCAAGAAGTAGCTTTATACAAACTAGGATCACCTTCTTGAAAACCGGTTGTTTTACTAGGACTGAACTTTATGTCAATGAGTGTTTTAAATCAAAGATTGATTAACCATCTATTCAACATGGGACTCACGCTATGTGAGAAGCTGAACGAGAAGAACGCTGAGGTCTCTTCCAACTATAGGACTCACTGGCCCTCAATGTATAGCAAAATGTTCACCATTTTCATTTCAGCTTTCTTGCAGTATTTGGGGCCAATGAAGTTAGCAATGCTATTTCTAAAATGTCATATGATGAAAGCACACAAGAAACTAAAGTAGAAGAACCACTGAGTATCACCCCATCCTCCTCCTATCTGCAAGCAGCCAAAACACACAACACAAAACATCAAATCTGCAGATATTTACAAAACATGTCTTGCTACGGGTCTCAGCTGAGGGTGCATGAGACAGTTCCTGTCTGCTGGAGTATATAACCTGCTTGGAATGAATAGACTGTTAAAAGAACTCACAAAGATGATAATTCTCATGTTTAAATGACTCACCGAAAGCAAGTTCACGTTCAAAAGTAAAAACCTCAGGATGCTTTTCTGTAACAAACGCATTTTCTAGTCAGTTAGTTAGGCCTATTATTTCAGGAAAACACAGCTTAAATTCATGAAGAAATAGAAAGGTTTGCAAGCAGATCTCTCAAACAGCTATTTATCTTATAATTTAAACAAGGAATTCAACACTAAATGCATCAAAGGAAATGATCCACATTAGGTTTATCTAAAGGAGATGATACTTTAAAACTTATCCTACCAGCTGTCCATAAATAGCAGAAATTTGCCACTCACAGATAACAATTACATTTTGCGCTGTGATTTTTCATAACAGCGCAAAATGTACCTGAAACTGTATGGTGAACAAAGACCAGATAACATAACAAAGTTACTTCAGATTTACAGCTAAAAATGAGAAGACCAATTGGATATGAATTGAGAGAAGTGAAAGTACATCAACAAAGTCAACAGCATCCGTAAGTCAGTGTTGAAGTTCTTTCCTCTCAAGGATCCTCTTAGAAGCGGAAGTGCCCCAACAGAGGCCACAGGTGTCGCTCTGAGAGATGACTTTACTGTCTCCAGCTCAGCTACCTCTCAGCATGCTTCTGAGAGTTTGATGCGGGGGAGGGATAAAGGTTCATCACACACCACCATCTGCTTCTACCGGAGGAAGGGGGCTCTCACTGGCTATCTTATCTCTGGTTTTCTCTAGAGGGACATTCATGACAAGACGATACCACTGATTTCTTCACTCACTGTGGGGTCCACGACCAAAAACGTAAGAAGCATTAGAACGATTTCTAAGACTCCTTCATACCTTACTTACCCTTAACCACAGCTTGGATTTATTATGGTTTCAAGAACTCCAACATTTCCCCATCCATTAACCCTCCAAATAGATTAAGTAGTATTTAGGGCAGATGAGACCCATATATATTTTTTCTCTTCCTCTCTAGTATTGTCTGAGTTTTATATGACACCTGAATTTTCAAGTCACCACAAGGAATACAATTCATAAAATGAGACCTGTAGCAGGACCTACAGAAGCTGCGGGGAACAAGTTAAGGAGTCAGGGAAGGAGATACGGTGTCCCAGCGGGACTTGTTAAATCCTGTTTTGTAGATTTAAACTGGAGCACAAAAAAGGGGAGGAACTCTCTCACGAGAAAACAATTTCTATTCTTTTGTTTCCAGAGATTCTGAGCCCAAAGGAGTGGGCGGTGGTTGGGGAGAAAGAGCAAGGTTCCCCCAGGTCTGCAACTGCTACCATTTTCTCTTATTCCTGAGATGGAAATTAACTGACACCATCATACAGTTCTGAGGAAGGCACCTGAGACAATCTGATGGTATCTTTGTTAGTTAAATTTCTCTTACTCTTTTACCTAAATCTATTCTTATATTCAAATATAAAAGAGGTAGAACATAACTTTCTAAATTAGAGTTATTTTAGAATACACAGCAACCAACTTAGAAATTAATAGACCGATTGTCTTTCACCCTGAGACCGCTGACCTGCAGTAGATCTGAAATAGGCTTCTCTCCATCAAAACTGTTCAGTAAAAGGCTTATTGGTGACAAGAATCCAGCTTATACCATTACATGTCAGAAAGATGCTATTTCCTCATATTGATATTTTCACTTAAAAATCTGTATTTTGGGTCTGTAACTTTTAATACCCAACATTGTTTATAGAGACCTTTCCCCTTTTTTTGTCATCAGTCTTATCTATTTTAGTGGCATTTGTGAAAAGAACTAGGTTTTTATTTTAATGATCTTCATAATTATTTATTTTTATCAATAAAGTTTGCTCTTACATAAATTATATCCTTTCTTCATTTCAACTATTGGTCACCATATATTCTTGAGTTTAATATTTAATTTATTGTGTCTATTTAAACAATAAATGTAACTTGAACTTTTTTGTACCATTTTAATTTTACATCTTAAGTTTGATATTAAGCACTTACATCACTAACATTGTCAGTAAAACACAAATTATGCAGAAGTGCATCTTTAGGTTTCCAAATATTTGTATTATTTCTTTGTTAATTTTAAATTTATCACCATTGGGATAAAACAGTGAATACTTGTGATGTTGATTCTCTGAAAATCTGAGAGGTTTTTATATATATTTAATTTTTGCAATTTTTATATTGATTTGAATGTAATATGTATTCTCATTAGAGTAGTGATTCTCAAACCCTGCTGTGGCTGGGGAGCCTTAAAATATACTGACACTTGGGACCTCTCGGCAGATTTAGTCAGTCTGTGAGTCCCAAGCATCAGGATTCTTTAGAGCTCCCCGGTGATTCCAAACACCAGCCAAGGGCAAGAGCATGTTTTCCTTTCACTTTTTTCCTTCCTTGTCTTTGTCTTTTCTTTCATTCCTTCAACACGCTCATTTCAATGTCTGGTTTCCGTTGACTTTATCATCTGTTCTTCATAAGCTACACTGATCGATTGTGTTGCTTGTCTGACAGATTGATAGAGAACAGTATATGTTCTTTCAGGATCATTAATTTCCTTTCATTTGGGCTCACTCTTCTTGAAGTTTCTTGATGACATTAACTGGGTGCTTATCCATTCAAGGTAAAGGCTGAATGACTGGATAAAGAAGAGGTGGTATATTTATACAATGGAATACTACTCAGCCATAAAAACCAACAACATAACGCCATTTGCAGCAACATGGATGCTCCTAGAGAATGTCATTCTAAGTGAAGTAAGCCAGAAAGAGAAAGAAAAATACCATATGAGATCGCTCATATGTGGAATCTAAAAAACAAACAAACAAACAAAAACAAAGTGTAAATACAGGACAGAATTAGACTCATAGACAGAGAATACAGACTTGTGGTTGCTGGGGGGTGGAGGGTGGGAAGGGATAGATTGGGATTTCAAAATTGTAGAATAGATAAACAAGATTGTACTGTATAGCACAGGGAAATATACACAAAACGTTATGGTGGCTCACAGAGAAAAAAATGTGACAATGAGTGTGTAAATGTCCATGTATGACTGAAAAATTGTGCTGAACACTGGAATTTGACACAACATTGTAAAATGATTATAAATCAATAAAAAATGTTAAAGAAAAAAAAAGGCTGAATGTTGTGGTTACCATTGTTCTCACAGTTAACAAAACCAGTCCTTTGATGGAAGACAAAATCCTCCATCACAAATTGAATGCCTTCAAAAGAAAAATGGAATTCCTCAGAAATAGACTTATTCTGCCTCCTCAGATAAGGATCACCCCAAGGCGCCTCCTTTGCTGTCATACTCCGTGATAAAGTTAACTTGTATATCAAGACCCACAAAGCGCAGGCCAGCCCCGTGGCCTGGTACACATCATGAATCTACACCTGAGCCAGCCTACACTTACTGGAAACACCTGGCAAGGAGACCTAACACGCACCAGTCACAATCCTCCAACCCAGCTGTAGCAAGCTCCCCCTACCCGAGGAAAGAGGACCTGCCAGCTTTATAGGGAGACCCGCCACCATCTAGCCAATCCTGCCCTGTTTCTGAGCTGCCTCTTCTAACTCTCTGTAAAATTTGCGCTTGTCCAAAATCCCTCGGGAACCGTATTCCACTGCTTGTGAGGCACTGCATTTCCCCAAACCATGTTTTCCCTTAAATAAAGGACATCAAACTCATTATTAAATTATTTTATTTTCATCATTTAACATCTGGTTCTCCTTCACCATTTCCAGTCCTCTTCTTACCAGACCCTACCTCCTCCTCACCTCACCTCTTCCTCCTCCTGCTGGACCTCTTCTGTCTCTTCAGATTTGTCAGTCTCATGAGCTGGCCTGGCTCCATGTCTTAACCAAAACTTCACTCTCCTTCCTCCCATGTCTTGCTCTCCCATCTTCAGACACGCCATCAGCAGGCCTCCCCAGCTCCTGCAGCCGGGATTGCTGGGGCTGGGGCAGCAGGTCAGCACGCTGCTGAGCTGGCCAGGGCTGGCAGCGGAACTCATATGGTTGCCGGCACTAGGACAATGGCCCTTGTCTGTGGCTGGAAGGCTAACGGCATCACTGAGGAGTGGAGAGACTTTGCAGCTGCCACAACCACTGCCTAGGGACCCATAGGCAGCAAAGGTGATCCACCTTTAAACTCTAACATACACTTTAGTTATAAGTCTTTCTAAGGCAGCCTAGAATTATTTGAGATTTTCATCTTCTTTACAGTCATGACAAGGGCCTTGCCTTGATTTAATTACTCACTGGTGTTACTTTCATCAACCTGTTATGGCTGATCAGAGTGTCCTTTTCTTTTTTAATATAACAAAAGATTTTGTTTGCTTTCAACAGTTACATTTACTAACATGTATTTTTTAATCCAAGTAGATCCATTTGTAGTTCATCTATTGAAAGCCTGTGGGGGGTGCGTTTTTATAAACACTTTTTTGTTGCAGTAGACTTAATTTACAATGGTACATTTCATTAGACTTTGTCTCACAGCATTTCCTCTCCTTCAGCTCTCTTATTCCAGAGTGATAGTTAAGCTAAGAATGAAACTGGAAAGTAACACTCTGCTCATCATTTTGAATGTTTTCTTCTTCCATCTGTTTTGATGAGGACAAGTCTGCTATTACTTTGTTATTCTTTTGTAGCTATTTGTTCCTATGGAACTTTTGTAATTTTTCTCCTCCCTAACATTCTGGGGTTTCATTACAATATGTCTAGATATGGATTTATTTTTATTCCCCCATGTTTTGATATTCAGAGTTCTCTCTGGATTTGAGAATTCATTTACTCATCAATCAGAAAAAAAAATCTCAACAGTGATATCTTCAACTACTCTTCTACCCCATTTCCTCCTTTCTTCTGGAATTCCTATAAGATAAATAAATATTGCATTTCAGTCTAGCTTCTATGTGCTTTTTATTCCACTTTCTTAAAAAATAGTCTCTCTGTTGTATTTTTGGGTAAACAGTTCACTACTATCTTCTGTTTCACAAATTCTTTATTCTAAGTGGTCGGTCTAGAATTTATCCTATTTGTTGATTTTCTTTTTTGTTCTATTTCAGGGATGATAGTTTTATTTCTAAGATTTGCAATTGGTTCTTTTTGGAATCTACCTGTTGTTGTCTAATCTTTTTATTCTTAATTCCTTAGCCATTTAAAATAATTGCCATGCCCAAGGCAATCTACAGATTTAATGCAATCTCTATCAAATTACCCAGGACATATTTCACAGAACTAGAACAAATCATAATAAAATTTATATGGAACCATCAAAGACCTAGAATTGCCAAAGCATTACTGAAGAGAAAGAAAGAGGCTGGAGGAATAACTCTCCCAGACTTCAGACAATACTATAGAGCTACAGTCATCAAGACAGCATGGTACTGGTACAAAAACAGACATATGGACCAATGGAACAGAATAGAGAGCCCAGAAATGAACCCATAAACTTTTGGTCAACTCATCTTCAACAAAGAAGGCAAGAATATACAATGGAATAAAGACAGTCTCTTCAGCAAATGGTGTTGGGAAAACTGGACAGCAACATGTAAATCAGTAAAGCTAGATCACTCCCTTATACCATACACAAAAATCAACTCAAGATGGATCAAAGACTTAAACATAAGACAAGATACGATAAACCTCCTAGAAGAAAATATAGGCAAAAGATTATCTCATGTATATCTCAAAAATGTTCTCCTATACATTATACAATGGAATACTATTCAGCCATAAAAATCAACAACATAACGCCATTTGCAGCAACATGGATGTCCCTGGAGAATGTCATTCTAAGTGAAGTAAGCCAGAAAGAGAAAGAAAAATATCATATGAGATTGCTCATATGTGGAATACAAAAAAAAACAAAAACAGAACATAAATACAAAACAGAAACAGACTCATACACATAGAATACAAACTTGTGGTTGCCAAGGGGGCGGGGGGTGGGAAGGGACAGATTGGGACTTCAAAATGTAGAATAGATGAACAAGATTATACTGTATAGCACAGGGAAATATATACAAGATCTTATGGTAGCTCACAGCGAAAAAAATGTGACAATGAATATATGTATTTTCACGTATAACCGAAAAATTGTGCTGTACACTGAAATTTGACACAACATTGTAAAACGAATATAACTCAATAAAAAATGTTAAAAAAAGATACAGTATTGTAACCTACTGAAAGAGCTCAATAGGTTATTGCAAGAATCAACTGATACAAAGCACAGAAAAGAAATCTATTTTGTAATTCTAGTCATTGTAATTTGGTAGTAACTACATTAATTTATTTGATTATATTTTTCCCAAAACACTATAAATATTTTCCTCCAATGGAAAAAGTCATATCAAAATTTGTCTGGCTTTGTATTTTACAACCAACATTAATTTCATCCAAGTGCAGTAATGAAAAGGGCAAAGTTCAGGAAATTTGAGGAGATTTGGTTGTATAATGCTCACTACTCCTCATTACGATAGAAAGTTAAAAATCATCAGCAAAAAATGGTTTGTTAAAATCAGTGCTCCCTTATTTTCTTAGACACTGTGAAATTATCATAACATAGTTTACCCTCCTGTTTTTCTTATTTTTCTTGTCAGCACAACAAGCATTAGACTTTTAGATTTTAATAAACTACATCTGATCATAAAAATTAATTAATTAAAATAGTTGCCATACCTTTAAAAACTCTGTTTATGCATATGAAACACACAAATATAAAATGTTTGTCAGATTATTCATTCCTTGGGGCACAAAATAAATGCCATCAGAAGTGAATCTGTATTCCAGTTGATGATTTTGGCTGCTTTTCTTGGCACTGATATCCTCGAGTCATGGAAAAAGATTCAAAGGCTACTCTACGGAGCCAGTCCTCCCCCCGCCACCCCGCCTCTCATCTAGAGGATTAGGGATTGTCTCAGCTTAACTCTTAGGCATTGTTTCCAGACCTGGATCCTATATTTATGACTTAGAATTATTTCCCTACAGTGATACTCAGTATATTGAAGGTCTCAGCACAGAGAGGGTGGGTGGCTGGACTCCACGGCTGGTTGCAGTGTGGTGCCTGGGGGTTCTCACATTCTTAGCCTGCAATTCTCCTGAGGCTGTTTACTGAGGCAGTATATGGCAGCAAAGATTTTTGGCTTCTGTGAATAAGCAAAGGGTGCCTGTCCTGCCCTTCTTCATATCTGACTTTCGAGGAAGAAGCCTGACACCAGTTCCTCACTATCACATAGAGTATTTCAGTATCTTTTGTTTCCAAGATAAAAGTTGTTGCCACATCTGCCGGCTTCCAGACCCTGTGGGCTAACCCATGGCTTCAGCATCACTCACACGCCCTTTATGCCTTCCTTCTGGTCCACACAGATGTTTACGCTGCCTTGGAGGCTGGTTTTGTCTCTTTCATTTCCTCTTTTCATACTTTATCTGTTGTTGCTCCGTGTTTGAAGCAAAAGTCATTGAGCTACTGTGGCTGGAGTTCAAGCTAGCATTTTAAAATGTGAAATCACACGTATCTAGAAGTTATGACAGCTGTGTGAAAATTAAAATGAGAGAACCACAAAATATGAAGCTTGTACAGCCATTCTTTCCTACCTCAATATTTTCTTTTGATGATTATGCTCACTAATTGAAAGAAAGAGATCGTTTGGACTTTGACATGGAAAAAAATCAAATACCTTTCAATTGTTACAGGTTTGTTTAAAATCAATTTAAGCTCTCCCACAGTAAAAAAAAAAAAGAATTATATTAAAAAGCTTATCATGAAATCATAAAATTTCTAATATTGAAGAGACATTGGAGAGAATCTATTCCAAATGCCCATTCAATCCATGATATTTACCCCAACTCTGCTTGCATATTTACAGTAAGATTGCACCTCAGTTAGTAAGACCTCATTGTTGAATAACATGTCATGCTAGAAAATGTTTTCTCATATTGATTTTAATTCTACCCCGTTATACATTTACTTATTGATTCTAGTTTTTTTCCTTTAAGGAAGGCAATAAACAACCACTTTTACCTCTTACAGGATATTCTGTGGGACATTTGAAGACAACTCTTTCTTTTTTCCAGCCTAAACATTGACAGTTATTTCAAAAAACCATTTCTGTCTGTGTATTTGTTTATTTTCTCATCTATATATTCCTGTTCTAATCTCACTACCATACTTGGCAGGCAATTGTAAGGACAGGTAAAGCTATATATAAGGGGTAAACTACTTCAAGTGCTGAAATTTCCACCAGTGAACATGTTAGCACAACAGTGAATTTATATTTCCCCATATAGAACTTGAAACTTCCTAGCGGAGCTATTCTGGACACACAGCTGACGAGAACTCTCAGTTGTCTGGGTGGGGCATGAATGTAACAAAGCCATAGACTACAAAGGTATGATTTTTGTATTTATTTTCCCTCCCAGATATTATCTCAAGAGTCCTTCTGCAATTATTATATATAGACTGTAAAATTTTATGCAGAATTCTTTCTGCAATTTTATCATTGAGTAGTAACAATGAAAATCATTTTGGACCCAAGCTCCTATGCACTGTCCTTCAGCCTCTTTTAAATGAGACTTTCTCCAAAATAATTAATCAAAACAATAGTTTTTTTAATCATGAGTTTTACCCGCATTCAGTCTTACTGTGTGATCACTTTCATTTCCATTATACCCTTTTTATCAAATATGTATATATTTTTTCCTGCCACTCTGCCCTGTCACGAGGATGCCAAGTCTCAGCCAGGTTGAGCTAAAATCTGTGATGTTTCAGGAAGAAAGCTGACAGGCAGTGTGGGTTTGGAATCAATACAATCATGTTAAACTCCCAACTCTGTTCTATTCCTGGATCCGCTGGGTAGAGAAAATTACTAAAATCCTTTAAAACTTTGTTTCCTTATTCACTAAAGGAGGAAACTAATACCTGCTTCATGGTGTTAAGGGAGAAAGGGAAACAGAACAACGCAGGGAAGCACCAGCAGAATCCCCAACATCAAGAGTAAGTGCATCCTCTTCCCTCTTATCTCAGCCTCTTCAGAACCATGACTAATGTTAAAAGAATACACAGAAAAAGAGATCACAACAAAATACAGTTTGTTTATTAAATCCCATAACACAAATATTGAAACAAGTAAGAGTTGTCTCAAGCTCAGGCATTTTCTGCGATTTATTAACAAAATATAGTTTTGTCATTTTTTTTCCAGTCAGAGCCACTCCTCAGACCTGCTAGAGGTCATCTTTTTATAATTCTTCCGTACCAGTTACCTTTGCACAAGCTTGGTCTTTTTGGTCTATTTTTTCCCAAGTATTTTTGAGCTGATGTAAGAGTGAATGCCATCTGCTGATCTTTCTAATGCGTCCTTGTAGAAAAATTCTGAGTTCCAGCCTATGATTTATGTTTTGTGTGAGACAAACTGTCCTGTACTTTCCTTTTCCTCTTCCCTTTTAGGATATTAACCTTAACATAAGGTAAACATATTTTAGAGAACATCGCAATTTTTCAGTTACAGTTAAAAAGTAATTTTTGTTGAAAATATTACCTGTTTTCTCCCACCCTTAAAATAGGATAGAAAATAATTCCACAGTGCTTTATATTTATTTCTTTATTCACCTTATTCTTTGGGGAGGAGGAGATTGGAACAAGTTTTGTGGATTTCTGTGGGCTAGAAATGTCCTGACTGTGGAGCTAAGAAGACGAAGATAATGGGCAGAGACAAAACTATTTGCCCAAATGAACTAATGAATAGAATAGTCAATGGGTAGAAGAGTCAGAAACTAGACTTTGTGAGAACTGAGGGGAAAGAGTGCATTAGGAGAGAGGGAGGAAGGGAAAAATTTCTCTTTGCTCTTAAGTTTCATGGGAAAAAGAAGATACAGAGTGAAATTAAAACATGAGAGAATTAGGGTAAAAAATAGATAAACAGAAAGATAATAATGTACGATCATCATGTATCACACACCTGAATGGCATGTGATACTACAAGAATAGAGAGGAAGTGAGAGAATTCCAAAGATACCACACCCTCTGTGTTAGAGAAATCACCATTACCATACCGTGTTGGCCACTTAAGTCCTGAACTTGTGCTAAAAGAAACAAATTACTCTTCCATGTGATTCTGACGCTAGGGTCCAGAATGAGTGATTTCCATCACACGGAGCAGGTGCTCTTTGGAGTTTGGTTGAGGTTCCTACAAGTCTTTATCGGTCTCAGTTTTGTTATTGGTTCTAAATGTGAATCTACAATGTACGTCAAGTTACTAGGCTCCCTTGATGCACTCTTTCTTCTACAGTATTTTCTAACACCTGTAATCATCATAACAGTCAAATGTCACCTACACCCAGCTTTGTAATCAGAACTCTGGAAAGTAACTCCTAATAATGGCCCTTTAGGGTTATTCTAATCACAAAGTTTCTCTAACTAAATAGTGTAGAATTAAATGAAATGAAGCAAAGATCCTGTTACTTTTCTGTCTCCCATATTTTAAAAAATCCATACAAGTGAACTTTGCTTTTCACAGAAATAAATTCATTAGGCTCAAATTCAGGTGATTTTTCAGAACTAACAGCATCACCCTTAGACTTTAACCTTCAGACCAGGGAGTTGCTCTTCCCACAGTCCTGACTGCATTTCCCAGGAGGGCACTGCTTAACCAGAGTCAACTTTTATTCTCTGTCTTGTTAGAGGTGCACTCTTGTAGCAGCATTTATTATGGCATTGTTAGCACATTCTTACAGCAATAAGGGAGATGGAAATAATACAAGAATGTAAGAGGCAATTTAAGAGGACAAAACTTCAAAAGAAAGAACTTGGGCCTTAGTGCTGGGAACTGGCGGGTAGATTCCATGGCTCCCTGCCACGTACTGCGCCACTACCTGATTCTTGTCTCCTGGCCTGAGCTCTTCACGACTTTCTGCTTGTGCTTTGCAGTCTAGTCAGAGCCCCATGTTTAGAAAGAGCACCTGATCAATACATATTCTAAATAGCAGAAATCTAAGACATGAGATTTTAAGACATTTGCATTAACATTCCCCCAAATGTCACAGAGAACAAATCTTCCACTTTCCAGACTCTAGCATTGCTCACATTGGCCTGTCCTTCCACAGCACCCTACTCAGGGCACCCTT